ACACACACACACACACACACACACACACACACACACACACACACACACACACATATATATATATATATATCAATATATATGTGTATGTTATTTCTTGTTGATGCTTTACTTATTTTACATTAGAAAAAATCTTTTATAAATAAAATTAATATTTTTTCTGTAATTTAAAAAGTAATTGAATATTATAAGATAAATGTATAAGAAAAAAAAACTAAATTAATAATGTACATTTATATGAAATAAATTTAAAACTGCATAGTATCACACACATACGAATTTACTGTTGTATCTGTAGAAAGTTTGTTATTGATAATGAGACAGAACTATATTTTGCAGCTTTAATTGTAATTCTATTATAACAATAAATGATTGTCGTTATTAAACAATGATTTGATATTATTAGCATTGAACGTAGAGCAAGAGCGTTCGAAGAAATAATGTATTTATTTTTAACGGTTTAGGTTGACTAACAATATTGGTCTCTTATACTTTTAAAAATAATTTATAATGTTTTAAACATAAAATCATGAATAATGAATTCTTCAAGATAACTTAGATTTTGGTAACGAACGTTTGCATGGAAACTTTGAATCATATTATTTGTTTTAGTATTTTATACTTACTCATACATTTAGAATTACATTTTTGTTTTTTTTTTTATTACGATTTGAAGATGCATTATATCTGTAATATATTTAATATGAAATTTATTAATCTGTATTACTGTAAATTTATTAATTTATATCTGTATGTACAAATCAAACTAATCAAGGCTTCTTATAAGTAAAAAACTCTAAAGGATACGGGCAGCAGGAGCCATGCGCAGAAGACGTCGCGCAAATAATATATCAATGAAGTATGAAACTTTTTTATTCACTAAAACGCGCTCACATACGTATTTCGGCTTTTGAGCCCTCCTAAGAGACAACACAAACTAACATACAGAAATTGTGAATAAAAATTATCCTGTCATGGCGAGCTCCCCTACCTCAAGAAATTAAATGCCAGAATTAAACCCAAAAAGAGTGAAAAAAAAAGAAAAAAGGAAATTGAACGAAAGAAAAAAAGGAAATAATAGAAATATCGACATAGAGAATATGAAAAACTCATTTATTTAAAACCTTAAGATTATAATTAATTATCCCGAAAATAAGAACGCTCACCTTGATCTGAAATCACAAACTATCGCAAACATTACTAGAATTATTCAAAAACCACTTATCGACATTTTGTGGCCAGTTAGCGTCAGACACAGAGAGTCACTCTTAGTTTAGCTACAATACAATAGTATTAATGAAGTTTACAAATAAAAAATTTTGCATTGAAACGTTAATCAATTCCATGAAAATGAAAATTGGAAAGTAATCAAAAATCACGCCAGAAAGACTCATTACTGCGTACGAATGACACTGACTGACTAGACGTGACAACAACTCAAACCTTTATAGCTTGTCTATGATCGGTAGGTAGGCCTTGGAAAGCCTCTCCATATCCGTCTGCAAATTGAGTCTTCGCGTTTGTTTTCTGAATATCTTCTCCGAAATCAATCTCTTCTTGTAGTGAAACTCCTCGTCCAGTATTATAACGTTGTACCAATCGAAATCATAGCCTTTTTGTAACCGATGCTTCGTTATGACATTACGAATAGAGATGTTCCATCTGATGTGATTCTTATGCTCCGTGATTCTTGACTTCAGCTGTCTACACATCTGTCCCACATAACTTACATCACAACTCTTACACGAGATCTTATAAACAACATTCGACTTCTTGTCACGCAGTAAAGGGTCCTTATGTACCCTAATGAATTCTCGCAATTTATAGTTACCATAGAATGATATCCTCGTATGCTCGCTATTCAATCTGCTAAACTTTTCAGTAATATCACAAACGAAAGGAACAGTGAACCACAAAGGCTGCTTCTACCCTATTTTAATTAACAACATTCTTCCTAGCCATAATAATTTTTTTCAAACGATTGTTAATATTCTCAAATATAAAGTTCAATGCATAATCATTCTCTAACAATACTTTAATAATAACACAAATTATCAAGGTGAAATTTAGGATTCGATAGCAAAACTACCCTATCAACTAATCCCGCGATTGTACCTATTTTTTGAGAAACAGGATGTTGTGACCAAAAATTCAAACATCTACTCGAAAAAGTCGGCTTGTGATACCAATTGAACTTTACCAACTCATTACCCCTGATCACTGTAACATCTAAAAAATTCAATCTATCACCCCCTACGTCCAAAGTGAATTAAAGCCTAGGATGCTAAGAATTAAAAATATCAAAAATGGAACTAACGAAAGACGCAGGTGCCAATAATATATCGTCAATAAACCTACAGTAAAAGGGCAACGGAAACCGAATCAAAGACAAAGCTCTAACTTCCAACTTTCGCATAACTAGAATCGCAACAACGGAGAGCGTAATTCTGCCTATATATAACACTATCAAAAACAAAGAAAGTAGAATCTAAAACAAACTAAACCGCTTTGATGAATTCCTTCTCCGATAAACAATCTCTAGAAATAAATCGCCAATGGTCTTTATACAATCCATTGCATAGTCAATGGAGACATTAGTAAAGAGGCTCACAACATTCAGTGACATTAACTGAAATTCAGCACTCAAACGTCTACCATCAAGTTCCTTAACAAGTTTAAAACTATTTTCAATATGACTATTCGCTTTAGAAATTGTTTTTACGATAATATTAGGTGTAGTAAAAAGAAATCTATTATTTTTGCATTAAATTGAAGGCTTTATTTAGCATAGTTAGAATGATCCGATTTAGGTCAAATATGCACCGTTTTGTTCGATAACTTGTTGCCATTTTGAAGGAGGTAATTTCATTATGCCTCTCTCATAGAAACCCTCGTCCCTATTGCCAAAAAACTGGGACAGTCGATTTTCATAAGCTTCTCTTGAAGCGAATTTTTCACCAGCAAAATCATTCGCCATAGACAGGAACAGGTGGTAATCACTTGGTGCCAGGTCCGGACTATAAGGTGGATGCATAAGAACCTCCCAACCAAGCTCCCGGAGCTTCTGGCGAGTCACTATCGATGTGTGTGGCCTGGCGTTGTCTTGATGGAACACAATTCCTCTCCTATTGGCCAAAGCTGGCCGCTTCTGGGCGATTGCTTCTTTCAGATGGTCCAATTGTTGACAGTACAGGTTCGAATTAAGAGTTTGGCCGTAGGGGAGCAGCTCATAGTAGATGATTCCCTGCCAATCCCACCAAACACACAGCAAAACCTTCCTGATCGTCAATCCTGGCTTGGCCACCGTTTGCGCCGGCTCATCGCGATTCGACCACGACCGTTTTCGCTTGACGTTGTCGTAAGTGACCCACTTTTCATCACCAGTAACCATTCGCTTCAGAAATGGGTCGATTTTGTTGCGATTCAGCAGCGATTCGCAGATGGAAATTCGGTCCATGAGGTTTTTTTGCGTTAACTCGTGTGGCACCCATACATCGAGCTTCTTTTTGTATCCAGCCTTATTTAAATGGTTCCAAACGGTTTTTTGTGCAATGTTTAGCTCCTGGGCAATCGAAACAGTGCTTACATGACGGTCGGACTCGACGATTTCCATTATTTTATCGACATTTTCGACAATTGGCCTTCCAGAGCGTGGTGCATCTTTGACATCAAAATTACCGGAACGGAATCGACGAAACTAAAATTGCGCGATATTGACTGTTATAGTATCAGGACCATAAACACTATTCACATTTTCAGCCGCCTGGCTTGCGTTTTCGCCTTTATCGAAGAAAAACTGTAAAATATGGCGTATTTTCTCTTTGTTGGTGTCCATCTTTGACACGCGCTCAAACAATACTGATTCAAGCAATCACAAAACTGTCTGAGAAGTTTTTTTAGTACGAAATCTTATCTTTTTAACACCATTTGGCGTAACCCGATCGCACTTATACAACGCGGGATACAGATTACTAAAGCCATCTATTGGAAAAATAATAGATTTCTTTTTACTACACTTTATATTATGAAGAAACTGTTAACGAATACAAAGGGCTATTTATCGAAGAAACTATTACACGAAAGGGGCAGTCCTGTTTATGTATCTTTGGAAGAGCGTAGGCTCTCGGAAGTATCCCATCATTACTTAACAAACTTGTATATGTGGAATTAGCTATATACTTTTTTTCTTTCCAACTAACTAATAAAGCACGTAAGCTCGTTATCATCCTCTTCGTTGAATCCCTTTCAACTACTTCATAAGTATTTAAATCCTGAAGCATCTCATTTGCCCTGGAAATATACACCCGTCTATCCAATGCTATTCCATCACATTCCCCTTATCCGTACGAGTAAAAATAATCCTATCATTCATATCCCTTAAAAAAACCCTAGTGTCTTTCGCTAGCTGTAACAAACTCCTATCTACCTTCGTACAATGTAGGAAACAAGAAGCTAAGCTATGGTATTTAGTACACGAAATGAGTAGTTCGAGATCGAGATCCGTTCATCAATAGGCAATTTGTAAATATTACTTTCAATACACTTAATAAGATCGTTAAATCTAATCTATTGTTCAAAGGTAAGGCAAAATTGTCTCCTAATTGTAAGAAGTTCTGTATATTAGGAGGTATGAAAACGGTTGATAGATTCACGAATCAGGCATTCCTTTGTGAGGTAAATGAAGGAGAAGGAATTAATGGAAGAAAGGGCTGAGAATCAATTTGTATTTCTCTAACTGCCTCAACATTTTTCTGTACGTTAGGATACAACGACAACCTAACATTAACACTATCCTCCAACATTCCATCCCTGCCATGATCAACAGCGGACTGTCTTCTGATAATTAATCAATAGCCTGGAACGTGTTGTTTACATTTGGCTCAATAGACGTACCATTGCTCTCACCTATAATATTCATATTTAGCTCGATTTCCTTATCACGAGTCTCACACGATGTAAGCGAAAAGGTTAGGTTCAATTGAAGAAAAGAGGTCCGCAAGAACTCAACGTGGTCTCGAACATTAGGTGCGAGATCAGAATGTTAAAGATCTTATGTTCGATCGTGCTTTTTCCTTTTTTTCATAATTTTTGTTCAATAAATAACATTATTAATAAACATATTACTCCAAATCTATTTTTTATATAATAAAATTATAGAATGCTAGAATGTAATATAGAATTTTACTTTACCGCGTCATATATCTGGTCATCTGTTTCTATTTTTTTGGGAATAAACTTGGAGAATGCATTTAAATGACGTATCAATAATAAAACTTCAAAGATAATAGAGAGTTTTTGCAATAACGTGGATCCAAATACGAACGCCTTTTTTTAATTAGTCGCTAGGAAGAAGATAACGTGACCATGATATCGATTATGTAGCTTTTTTCCTAAGGTGAAAACGTAAAAAGTGAAATTTTTTTGTATGTATGTGTGTATATGTACATGCATAACATATATCATTTTGCGCTGTATGCATAGAAAACACACACATAACGGCATTATACGAGTCAATCAGCTGTAACCAATATGATTCATGTTCACAGTACCGTTGCCGCGCAACAGTATTGTCAATTCAATGTAGTGTAGTAGTGTTCTACACACACCCATGTGTGCGTGCGTGCGTGCATGCGTGACGTGACGTTTTCCGTCCGTTACAAAAGTCGCACGACCCGACCGAAAAGTGCAGCTCTGAAGTCCTGAGTCCTTCCACTTTTAGAAGTGCGCGTTGTCGTAGCGTCGTTTTTGTGTATTTCATGTCTGTTGCATTTTGTTTATGCGTTCTGTTCTCGCGTTGTCGTTTTCTTTTCTCTTTTCGGGCATTATCGTACCGCGAGTTAAAGGCAACCTTGTAAAAGTTGACGCCGACTCACCAAACCGAGGAGGAAGAGGAAGACGACCAGGACTGAAAGTCAGGAAGCAACCGCTAAGGATTGCTCGGGGCGCACAACATCCTATCTCCCGGGTAGCACGCAGGTGATGTCGTTTCATATTTCGTCATCATAATGCGAGGCCTATCTTATCGCATCAATTTCCAGGCGTCAGGCGGAATGATAATGAGGACCACAGAAGGAGATGGCCACTCTATGCCCCAATGACGGCGAGATCCTCATAAAGGCGTCTTCGAGGCAGCCAGAAGAGATTCCGCGACCCTTAAATTTCGCGCGCCAGGACACGAGACACGGGCATGACGCGATTCACGCGATTAGGGGAGCCGCGGGCCCATGTGCCAATGAGGCGCGACAAGACCCCCTCGCGGAGATAACGAGCTCTGCATGCCCCAAGAGGATCAGCGCCTGGCACTTGTACTGTGGCCAGCGTAGAGAGCGGATTAGGGAAGGACACAGGACGGAATTATCGGAAGGGTGAAGGAACAATCTAATCGAGAGGCTATCAGAACGAGAACCAGAAGGTCACGGTGAGGCGAGCGTCACTTACTGTAAAGGTTTCCGAATCCGGGAGGCAGTATTATCGCTGTCGAGTACGTGATCGAATACACACGTGGCATTGCTGTGCGCTAGAATTCCGCGAGGTTCGCGGTAAATATGTCGCCTCTCGGAACGGTTAATCACATTGTTGGGAGATTTCTTTTCTCGGTCCGCCTAAGCCACAGCTTCGTCACTTATCGCTAAGTTTTATCGCGTGATGAATTATTGTATCGTATCGTATCGAAATTTTGTACCGTAATATTGGCGTGTATCTGATCGTATCGGAATTCTAGCGTAAAATTTTTGTGTATTTTGTCCTTCTCTGACCTTCGGTAGAGCGGTGCGAAGCCCCGCGAACGAGCACAAGGTCACGCCGTGTTCACATTAAGATCGTTACCGTATCCTACCGCAATTATTGTACGCAAAATTCGCGAGAAATACTCTTGCGTGGCGTGAACTCGTGCCGAGACTTAGCATGATTGATACGCACCACGTATAAAATATCGGGACCTGTGCGAAGCTCAGTTACCGCGCTTTGATCGAATCTTATCGCCGCGATCTTGTCAACGAGTACACAAGAAAGTCGGAGACTATTTAAATACAATTGTTATTCTTTCTATTACTAATTCTGTATAATTTATTGCTGTCGTCGCTTCTCCAAACGATCTTCTATCCTCGACCACGAACCGTCCCCTCTGCCATTTCCAAGATTGAGCTACCGGTTACGAGTACCGTTAGTGTTCACAGCTCGTCAGAATATCGTATAAAGAAAATATTTCATGATTTTTAGAAAGAGTGGCACGCTCACTCGTGCCTGGCGCCCAACTACCGTTTCAAGATTTTGTGTTGTTCTTGAGAGGAGTCGCATGAAGACGTATTTCTGTCGCGTTTCTTTTGAAGTCACCCACAATCTACTCGTATGAGAGAGAATAGCTGCAAACGCGCGATGAAGTTGCGCCACGCTCGTGAGTGCGGTTGCAATATATATTAGGTTGTTCGGAAAGTAATTTCGTTTTTTCTTATAAAAATGAAAGACGATTTTCAATCAGATGCGTTTCAAATGATCATGAATGGTCGAATTCGATAAATGTAATCTCTCAGCGATCTCACGAGTTGTTATTCGCCGGTTTGCATCAATTAATGTCTTTATTGTGTCTTCATCAGCTTCAACTGGCCTTCCAGAACGTGGTGCATCTTCAACATCATTGCCGGATCGAAATTTTGCAAACCAGTTTTGGCACTGGCGTTCTGTCAATACATCTTCTCCATACACATCGGATAATTTTTTTCTTGCTTGAACAGCATTTTTACCTTTTCGATAGTAAAAAAGTAAAATATGCCGAAAATACTGCTTTTCACTTTCATATTTGATAGGGCACCAACCAAAAACTACTGCGTAGAATCAATCGAACTTTTTTCACAAGCAAGCCTTGCTATATCAGCTGTCAAAATATATAATAATTATGCGGCTTAAGTGTGAAGTTGGCTGTGAAAAAATACAATAAGTCCTCTGTTGAGAAAAAACGAAATTACTTTCCGAACAACCTAATAGTATCCACAAAATGGAAAAAATATAGTAGTAAAAAATTGTCTGCCTTTAATAAGAGAAGGTTATGGGTACTTTCTAACAAGCGACTCACTCAGTACAACACAGTGATTATCTCATTCTTGTACATTAGTGAACAACAAGATTAATGATGCACCGTGTCATATCATGTCACACTGTGTCTCTTGTTAGAACCCTATAAAACCAAAATTAGTTAAAAAGTTACTGTGATATGTGTTTCTTGTTAGAAAGCATTCTATAAAGCCAGAATGGAAAAGGTTAGTATCTTTATTGTGAAGATATCACTTTTATTTATCATACAAGTGATATGGTTAAATGTTATAACAATAAAATGTGCTTTACCTAATTATGATTTAATGTCAGAGGCGTTCATCGTGGGCTGACTATTTTTAATTTACAGCTAGAAGCGTTAATCGTGGGCTGGCGAACTATAACAAAATGCCACAGCCGTAAATCGTGCTTTGGCTAGTTATAAATAGATAAATATCAGAGGCGTTTATCATGGGCTGACTATTTTTAATTTACTGCCAGAGGCGTTAATCGTGGGCTGGCGAGTGTAATATATCTACGTATTGCTAATACATATTATCCTGGCCTAAAATGACATTAAAAGAAAAAATGCTATTACGGCCATGTGTCAATGTATACTGCCAATACTAAAAATCTATATTTACATATTTTACATTTATACTTACATATTTTATTTAATTATATTACATATTTTTAGTACTCGCAGTCTATATTGGTACAGTCGTAGTATCATCACAGTACATACAGTAGCGCAGCTCCCTGTCGGCACCTTTGATGTTAGTGTTGGCCAAAATGGAATGCGCATGCGTGAAATAAGCAAGTTACCTAGCGTTGCCATGGTTACCACCTAAACTATTTTCTCTTTTCATTCTTTTTTCACTCTGTCAAAACTCATTAGATTTATTCGCGTTTGATGCTTAGAGGAGTAAATCATAAGTCGACATAGGTTTTTCTTATTGCTGAATAAAAATTTATATAATTTATATATATTATTACATGTTTCAAAATAGACATTGGAGGTACAAGTCGATGGACAGATATATTTAAAATATGAATCAATTTCATGTAATATATACTAAATGTAATATAACACATAATATTTTTATTTACATAAATAAACGCCATGCGAAGCTTCGCTATAGTTTGCAAAACAATTTCGTTTTGCATAAAATTATATACCGTATGAAATATTCTATAAACTATTAAAAACAAAAGAACAAAAATGCATTATATATTTGTCATATCAATTATTTCTCCTGCAAACCATCGTTAAAATAGCACAAGAAAAACGAAATCGTTTTGCAATCGTTTTTTTTTTTAAATTGTAGGTCTTTTCTTCTGTTGAGGACGGCAGACTATGTGTGTATGGAGATATAATATAAAGGCCAATGTTATATATGTTATGTGTGTTATATGTGTTTATTTATGTTTATTTATGTAAATAAAAATATTATGTGTTATATTACATTTATTATATTGTATATCATATTATATTATATTATATGAAATTGATTAATATTTTAAATATATCTGTCCATCGACTTGTATCTCCAATGTCTATTCTGAAACATGTAATAATATGTATAAATTAGAAGAAAAACCTACGTTATAATTTACTCCTTTAAGCATCAATTTAATTTAACCTCATTCTTAACATGGTACCCTAAAATACTTTATGATTAGACATCTGAGATTATTTTTCTGTGCATGTCTCTAATAAATCACTTTTCACCACAAACATTGCGTTATTAATTATCTTTTCGCTTATATTTTATTACCTGTGTAAGAAAAACGGACCACAAAGTATTAAATTTTTTTATTAGCCAGTGTAAAAACAATTATACTTCATAACAAAACAAACTCAATCAACGGGCGAAGTAAGAGTCAACCACATTTTTTAATTTTTACATAAAATTATATATTATATTAAACGCGATGAAACATCACGCCAAAAAATAAGACTATAAACTAATACATTACAAGTAACAAGTTTCGGCTACCAGTTTGAGCCCTCTTCAGACATTAGTACAATGAAAAGTAACAGAACAAATTCAATTGTCGCAAGTATTCGTATATTCCGAATAATCACAGTTCGGGTGAGTCTTGATCTCGAAACATAATTTCCGTATGGTTGAACAGTCAAAAGTATTAAAATTGTCATTGTTGAAGTTCTAGTTAATAAAACGGATAAATTAAAAACAAAAAACGTAACGGACAAATACGTATAAATAAAATAATATAAAATACCGAAAGTCAAACAAAATCCATAAAAATTATTTCATAAAAAACTCACCAGAAATCATGTGTAAGAAGTTTGAATTAATATGTCCAAAAAGAACTAAAAAACTTTTGAAATATGTACAGAGAGAAGGAACGTAGATATGTAAAACAGACATTATGTATCGGTTATCATGTACGTTCAGTAGTGAGGATCAACACAGACTGAGAGAGGAGACGGGCTGTTCGTAACCGAAAGTCAAACTCTATTTATGATTGGAATATACGCTTTGTGGAGGCCATCGGTATCCGTCTGCAAATTGATACCATTCTTTTGTTTCCTGATGTTAATCATCTCTGAAACTAAACGTCTCCGATAGCTGGGCTCTTCATCTAAGATTTCGACCTCATCCCATTTAAATTCGTGGTCGAGTTGTCTCCTATGCTCCGTTATTACCGATCGTGCCGACGTGTTGTGTTTAATGTGATTGCGATGTTCTGCAATCCTTGTCTTTAATTTTCTGCCTGTCTGTCCCACGTACGTAGCGTCACAATCATTGCAAGAAATTTTGTACACTACGTTGTTCTTCGATGTGTGTGGATGAACATCTTTGTGTACCTTAATGTATTTTTTGAGTTTGTTCGGACTACGGAAAGAAACCCTGATGTCGTTATTGTTGAACCGATTGAACTTTTCTGTGTGGCGCGGGATGAACGGAACCGTAAGCCAGGACACTGATTCCTTCGCTTCGTCCTTGTCATTCATACTGTTCTGTGTTATGTGTCTATTTCTATTCAAGTTTTTAATTCGTAGGTTGATTGTGTCAAATATAAATGATAATGGGTAGTCATTGTCTAATAAAATGTTAATGATAAGTGTCAAATTTTGTGTGTAAAATCGAAAGTCCGAAAGTAAAATTGTTCTGTCAACCAGCGAAAAAATCGTTCCTCTTTTTTGTGCAATGGGGTGGTTAGAATAAAAATTCAAAAACCTCCCTGAAAAGGTCGGCTTACGATACCAATCAACTCCAAACCCGTTTCCAATGATCGATATAGTCACATCCAGGAAATTAATTTCATCACCCCCAAATTCAGAAGTGAATTGTAATCGTGGATGGAACGAGTTAAATTGTTCTACTATTGAGTCAATTCTTGATGGTTCAACCGCAGTACAAATATCATCCACGTATCTAAAATAAAATATTGCGTCCAAGTTCAACGACATCAAGGACACCGTCTCAAGTCTCCTCATCACCAAGTCCGCTATTACAGGTGATAAGGGGGACCCCATAGGAGTGCCGTAACTCTGTTTATAAAAATTGTTGTTAAACGAAAAAAATGTAGAATCAAGAATGAACCTTATTGCCCCCACAAACTCCTCCCTAGGTAGAGGACAGTCTCCGGCAACATACGTCCAATGTTCATTGATGCAGTCTATGGCTATATCCACCGGAACATTCGTGAACAAAGATTTTACGTCCAGTGAGATTAATTTATATTGGTCTGTAGTGTGTAATCTTTTTAGTTTCTCAACAAGTTCGAAACTATTTTTTATATGACTCTTTGCTTTAGGAATGGATTTAATTAATATATTGTGTAAGAATGTCGCCAGTGGATAGAGCGGACTGCCCAACGAAGAGACAATGACCCTCAAAGGGCAACAAGGTTTATGTATTTTCGGCACACCATAAGCTCTCGGAAGTGATCCGTCACTACAATATAACGTCTTATATTTTGTTTCGCTAATATATTTCTTCGTCTTCCATCTGGTGAGCATGGACCTTATCGCTGTCGTGATTTTCCTGATGGGATCTTTATTGATAAGACAGTATGTGTTCTTGTCATTCAGCAGAGTGATCATCTTTTCCAAATAGACCTCTCTGTCTAAAGCGACTGTGACATTGCCCTTATCTGCATGTGTGAAAAGGACATTGTTATGCTCCGACAAAAAGGCGCGTGTCTTCGATTCCATTCTTAGCAATAATTTATCAATTGGAGATGTTGTGATTGGAGAGGAAATGATGCCGTTGAGAATTGGAATGGAGTGGTTGGTGATTGCGATCCTATTTTCGATCGGCATGCGATGCACACCAGTTTCCACACTCTTAATGCAATCGAAAATAATCTTGCGTTTATCGTTTAGTGGAAGAGCGAAGTTCTCACCTAGTTGTAGGAAGCACTGTATGTCTATTGGAATGGACACAGAGGATAGGTTAAGGAACCACCCGTTTCGGACAGTGGTCAGGGACGAAGATCTATGTGAGGTGAAGGAACTGGGATGTATGGATATCAAGTTGCTAGGAAAAACTTGAATAGAAATAGACACATAACACAGAACAGTATGAATGACAAGGACGAAGCGAAGGAATCAGTGTCCTGGCTTACGGTTCCGTTCATCCCGCGCCACACAGAAAAGTTCAATCGATTCAACAATAACGACATCAGGGTTTCTTTCCGTAGTCCGAACAAACTCAAAAAATACATTAAGGTACACAAAGATGTTCATCCACACACATCAAAGAACAACGTAGTGTACAAAATTTCTTGCAATGATTGTGACGCTACGTACGTGGGACAGACAGGCAGAAAACTAAAGACAAGGATTGCAGAACATCGCAATCACATTAAATACAACACGTCGGCACGATCGGTAATAACGGAGCATAGGAGACAACTCGACCACGAATTTAAATGGGAGGAGGTCGAAATCTTAGATGAAGAGCCCAGCTATCGGAGACGTTTAGTTTCAGAGATGATTAATATCAGGAAACAAAAGAATGGTATCAATTTGCAGACAGATACCGATGGCCTCCACAAAGCGTATATTCCAATCATAAATAGAGTTTGACTTTCGGTTACGGACAGCCCGTCTCCTCTCTCAGTCTGTGTTGATCCTCACTACTGAACGTACATGATAATCGATACATTATGTCTGTTTTACATATCTGCGTTCCTTCTCTCTGTACACATTTCAAAAGTTTTTTAGTTCTTTTTTGGACAGATTAATTCAAACTTCTTACACATGATTTCTGGTGAGTTTTTTATGAAATAATTTTTATGGAATTTGTTTGAATTTTAGGTATTTTATATTATTTTATTTATACGTATTTGTCCGTTACGTTTTTTGTTTTTAATTTATCCGTTTTATTAACTAGAACTTCAACAATGACAATTTTAATACTTTTGACTGTTCAACCATACGGAAATTATGTTTCGAGATCGAGACTCACCCGAACTGTGATTATTCGGATTATGCGAATACTTGCGACAATTGAATTTGTTCTGTTATTTTTTATTGTACTAATGTCTGAAGAGGGCTCAAACTGGTAGCCGAAACTTGTTACTTGTAATGTATTATTGTAGTTTATAGTCTTATTTTTTGGCGTGATGTTTCATCGCGTTTAATATAATATATAATTTTATGTAAAAATTAAAAAATGTGGTTGACTCTTACTTCGCCCGTTGATTGAGTTTTGTTATTATGTTTTGAAAGAGTCCTTTGAATTTGTTTATTTATTTCAATTATACTTCTTCAAAATTATAACTTATCTGATATGTTAAAGGCTTCAAGCTCCGACTTCTCTCAATTAAGTTTTGGAATATTTCAGAAATTTCATTGATCAAAACAAATTACGTCGGTCAGCTGTTAAAACACAATTTACTAACACTATGATATATTCATGATCGCTGATGCAACATCCGTATCAGTCATAAATGTAAAAATAACTAACGAAACATAGACTTCTATGTTTGAAATTGAACCTCAGACCACAGTATATATAGTAGCAACTCTCCCGATTTTATGTTGGCCAAAATGAAGTGCGCATACGTGAAATAAGCAAGTTGCTCCGTCTCATTTCCTCCTTCTTTATTGTTCTCTTTCTATTTAAATGACTTTCAGTTACATTTAAAGAGCTAAGAGCAGAAATTTAAAGGGAAATATAACGTACATCGTCCATTTGATAATGTTGTGTGAGAAATCTCAAGAGTCTCGTGAAAAAGTGAAGTGAAGTGAAAAGTGAACGAAAATAAAGAAAACCGAGCAAAAAATTTTCTTTTTGAGAGAATAGTTAACTTATATAATTATATATATAATAATATTATTAGCTCTTCTCTTGGAAGAGCACTTTGATCTTAGCTCTTTGTTTCAGGTCAACTCCAAAAAATTGTGAAAAAAAAGAACAATATAAAATAATTAAAGGAAAAAACATATGGTGTGTAGTACCAGCGTACACAAAAAAATTTAATTTAGGAGAGCGTTATTTTTTCCGATTTCCAAAGGAACATGAAAGGTATATTGTTTTTATGACTTTTTATATAAATCAATTTTCAATTCTACACATATGTACATTTTTATTGATAAAATATCTAATTTATAGATAGTTGCAATGGATACGAGCATGTGGAAGGCTGGACTAAGAACCAAAGGGTCCAGAATATGCGTACCAGAATCGGTTGTGCCATTTATATTTCGAAGAAAAATGATACAAAATAAATAAAATAAGAGTTCGTCTTCATCCAGATGCCATACCAATAATATTTTTTAGAATATGACAAGTGAGTTTCTACTTATAATTTAATTTATTTTTTAGTAAAAATTTTAACGTAACATAAAGTCTGTTTTTATATAATAGAGATATAAAAAGGAATGTAATTTTTTTTTAATTAATTTAAAAATAACTTATACCTATGTAGTCACTTTAATAAGTGCTCTAATGAGCAAAACAATATTTTATTTTTTATTTATTATTACAAATAATGTATAAATTCAGGAAATAATAACTATTTCTTTTCAGAGAAAACACGATTGACATGGACATTAAAGACGAAGCAGAAACAAATAATACCTATATGTACGTGCGCGCGTGCGCGCGTGCATGCGGGCGTGCGGGTGTGCGGGCGGGCGTGCGTGCGGGCGGGCGGGCGTACGTTCGTGCGGACTTTCGGACGGCCGGGCGTGCGTGTGTAAATATAATATTCTATTTTTAAATGTTATAATAAATCATATATTTTTATTGCAAAAAACATAGATAGAGAACCTGCAAGTAAAATAATACAGGAAAAAAACAGATAATAGATAATATTTTCTATTTTTAATAAGAAATTTAATATAACAAAATTTTATATTTTTAACAATATGGAATCTGCAGAAACAACAGAAGCATCTGGAGAAACATATGGAAATCGAAATCGAAGTAGAAACAAATGAGTATGTTATATTGAAATACTTTATATTAAGTAATTTTTTTCTATATATTTTGTATATATTAATATAGTTTAATGTTATATCATATATATTTGTTGCAGAAACATAGATGGAAAACATGTAAGTAAAATACAGGAAGAGAACAGGTAATAAATAATATTTTTGTATTTTTAATAAAGGATGGTGTGTAACAAAATTTTATACTTTCAGCTGGAATCTGCAGAAACATTTATTGTTGATAATGTGGATGCTGAGATAGTTAAATCGTAAATCTTAATTTATTATAAATTACATTAAATCGAAGATAGATTTTTATTATTATATTTGTGTAAACTAATATTAATTTTCATCAAATTTTACTTATTTAACCCTGTAAGGCCCAGTATACATAATTAAGCACATTCACTTAGAACTTTTCCCAAATATTATTTATATTGACACAGTAGTGACTTTTTTTGTATAATATTCTTAATTCATACTTACTAGTTGCAATTAGAATTGCTAATCCAACTTAAAAAATAAAAGTATTCTCACTAAGTCACTATGGTGATTGTTTGCAAAGCAAATCCACTGACACTTGATTTTGTGTAACATGTTATTCATTTTGTATACATATTATTGAAAATATCTAAACAATTAGTAGTTTCTTATTTTTTAGTTTCTTAAAGTATAATATTTGAGATCATAAAGTCGATCAAAAAGTAGATCAAAAAGTAATAATTCTTTTCGTTTAACTAACATAAATTGTCGATGGACGTGTGTATAAAATGAGTCGTTGAATTCGTTTCTAGCACGATCTTAATTCTCACAAGGGCTATTAATTTGTCGTTTTTTTTGTAATAAATTAAATCATTTATACACACACACACACACACACACACACACACACACAGACAACTGCAACGGACCATCGAAGGTTCGAGAACAATTCGATCGCGCGCGCGAGCGCGGCACTCAACGAATACTTCACGCGCGACCGCCAATCCCACGCGCGGATTTTTCTGTCGTGCATGACTATTCGCGTCGGAAGTCGAGAGAAAAGAATCCGAGGCGCCAATCAATCTCATACAACAAATGCCACGTTAAAAATTACAATTGTTGGCAAATTTTTATTGGGCACTGTCAAGAGGAGATCCCGGAACACGAAGGCAATATATGCGCCGATCGTCGCCGTTCTCCCTCTCTTAGTGCTCAGAGTCTCGCTATTGTATCGTATTGAAAACCGCTGTAAAAAACCGCCACGTAGGACCGCTGTAAGGAAAATTCCTTCGAGAACCGCCGAGAAATCGTGATTTTCTATCGTTACCGAATGAGATAATTCGGAACAAAAGTAGTGTGTAAAATTTGCTATAATTTTCTTCAATTTGTGCAAAGTTTAATTTTGTAAAGAATAAAGTGATTTTTATCAAACAAAAGGAAACGTTGCTTTTCTAATTATTGTGCGTCAAACCAGCCGTGTGTCGTCTTCTCGCTTCATTTTTTCGCGCGGTGCATTCGCGCGACTCAATAAGATTGATTTACCATGTTTATTATTAATTTCAATATTTAATTGTAATTCTGTAGCTAGAGAATGTATATATAAATATAAATATACATGATTATGTACCTTCAAAAGAACAATTTTATTTGATACACAAAATTCTTTATTAGAAATATTTGGAAAGATTATATTGTAAAAAAAAATGTACTCCAACAGAATCGGTGTCTGGGCCTGAAAGAGTAAAAGAAACAATGTTTTTATATAAAATAAAGTTTCTACTAGAATATGCAACATATCGCACGCTAACGTACATTAATATAATATAGTTTAATTCTTCATATAATCTTGTATTTTATTTAGTAATCTTTTGCTATTCGTTCCTATTAGAATAATAAATCTTTTCAATATTTACTATGAATTTAAACTTGTTACAGAAGTACATCCAAGGATACAAAACAGGACATGAAATCGTCAGAGGATAGCCCAGGAAAAAAGAAGCTGCGTTTGAAGCTCTCAAAATTAAAGGCACAAAACAAAACGCTCTGCGAAACAATTTGACGACTCAAGAGCATACAAGCCAAAGAGACTAATGAACAAGAAACTTTAACAAAAATTAGGCCGTAAGTTTTTATCGCAAAGGTTTAATAAAATATTAGCGGCACAAATTGATGCACAATGCAAAAACAAACGTGGCAGAAGATATGATCGTGATTTAAAAAAATTCGCTTTGTCATTGTATTTCTTAAGTTTAAGAAATTATAAACAATTGCATTGCCTTCAATTTTTCTTCTCTACAATTATTTACATAAAAGTGGAATATTGTGCCTGGTATAAATGATGAATTTTTTGAAGCACTTAAAGTAAAATTGAATACATTACGGTTAATAGAGCGCCGTTGCGTATTATGCGCAAATATAATCAGCTTAAATGATGTATCGCGGGATGAGATAATTGATTTTGAAGATTTTTGTAATAGGAAAACATCCGTACCCGCAAAAAGTGCATTAGTTATGACACGTAGCATTGCAGGAAACTGGAAATTGTCCGTTTGTTTTTGCTTTATAGAAACTGCATGTTCTGCTACATTTTTAAAAAATATTATACTTGACATCATTATAAAATTAAAAAACAATGGTGCTTTGGTGCATGCTTTCATTTCTGATATGGGTTCAAATTTTATCTAACTATCCCATATGTTATTATAAATATTTCGGTAAATAATTCAAGTTTTATTGTTGAGA